CCCCGCCCTGCCAGCGCTGCCACGGCTGCAGCTCCCTTCCTCTGCAGCCCCGACTCTGACGCCACGCTCCGGCGCGCACCTCACCCCAACAAGGGCACGGAAACGTGCGCTCCCCTTCAACTGCGTCCCCTAGAAGGGCAGAAAAGAAGCGGCTTGCCTCAAATGATGGCAAAAGGGGGCTTCTTACCTCAATCCAAACCCCTTAAAAGGCGGGACCACAGGACTGCCCCCTCCGATTCAACCTCAGGATGACGAAATCTCAAAGAGAAAGGGGAAAAGTCCCCGCTACAAAGGCGCACCGGCTCACCTGCTTGGCTGCTGCTTCTCGGCACAAAGGTTTGTCCCTCGGCTCCTCCTTTGAGCAATGCTCCACGTTTCCAGGTGGGGATCCAGGTGATCCCCCGGACCCTGTCCGAAGCGCTCACCGTCCTTCCAGGAGACAGCCCCGGGAGCCCCCCGTAAACTCCTCTTCTCCAGCAGCTCCGTGCAAAAGCCAGCGGTGGCAAACCCTCGCCCTAAAACAATCTCCCCCCGGCAGGAGCCGCCCCTCCTCCTTATCATGGTAACAGCTCATACCTGGCGGTGCTCTGGGTTTCTTTCCAAATGAATTTAGCGATAGATTCCTATCCTTTACCAATAGCTGTGAAAACGAAACACTTGCCAGGTTTTAGTATTCTACACACACCCTCCCAGGGAATTTTGGGGCAGCTTTGGGTCCCTCTGCGGGACGGCACCCAGCGTGACCCCCCCTCTCATCTGCCACCCACCCGCTCCTCCACCGCAGTGTGCGTAACTCTCCTAGGAACCTTGGGGTGCCCCAAATGACATCAGAGCCCCGAGTCTTCAGCCCCTAACCCTGACCCCCGAAGAAGGCACAGGACGAGTCCAACTGCCCCGAACAGCAGCCCAGCACTCCCAGCCCTTCCCACACCTCCATCCCCCAGAAAGGGACTCCGCCGCAACAAGAAAGGGGGGGGCAGCCCCCTGAAGGCTCGAAGCTCCTGCCCCGCCTCGCTGTCGCAGACCAGAGGCAGGAAGAGGGAATGGAAGCTGAAAGGACACAGGAAGAAAAGAAAGAACGGGGTGCAGGATGAAATTAAAAAAAAAAACAACAACAACAAAAAAAACACAAACACCAAAAAACCACCAAAATTAAAACAACAACAACAACAACAACAACAACAACAAAACACCAAACAAAAAACCAACCAAAGAAAACCCACCAAACTGGGATGTGCATCACAACAGAGGGATTA